TACCGTTGGGGTGGAGTTGACGGCACAGGAAGGGACGAAGGGGGGGGATGAAGAGTGGGGGATGGAGGGTGGGGGGGATGGAGAGAGGCGGTGGCTGGGCTAGAGTCTGGTGGTGCGGTCGGTGTTGGCACGAGTCAGATGTTCTAGACAACATGGTGACACACACGAATGGGTACAGATGTAAGCATAGGCGGCCACACAGACATGTACGCGTACACTCTCACATGTGCACCTATAAACAAGGACAGATCACCCGTACAGCCTTAACAGACTGTTGGAGCAAGTGCTGTTAGCGAGCACCTATGAAGGTCGACACGGCACACGGGGGGGGGGGGGTGGTGGGTGTTCAGCACCACACCCGGCCACCTTTGTCTCTCCAGTGGCGACGTTTACACGTGGGGAATCGAACTCGGGTCGCCGGCTTTGTAGCGCAGCGCATTAAACACTGCGCCACCGCTGCCCACACATGCACACTGTCACATTCAAACACGCACGCTCGCTCTCACAATCACGCACCTGCAAAGACAAAGATACCCACCCCCCCCCCGTATTGCCTTCGCAGACTATTTGGGCAAGTGCTGTTAGCGAGCATGCATGCGCATACACACACACACACGCACGCAGCCAAAAATGTTTTCTAGGCCACGTGGGGCTAATGGGGATTACGGGATTACACCCCTGCACACACCGGCATGGTCTGCGAGAGACGTAATCGTCCCGCAGTGCGCGAGCGTCCAAGAAACTCTCACAGCCGCCGCCGCTGCTGCTGCTTTTGTGATGAGGAAGGGAAAAAAAACCTCGGCACAACGCTCTCGCGAGTGCGCGCACACTCGCTCGCTCACTCGCTCGCTCATGTGCGCCACGCGTCGCGTGGGCTCGCACAGTCGCCCCCCTGTTGCACGTCGCGGTCCGGCAGCGCCGCTGTTTTTTTTTATTGCAAGGGTCACAATGATACCCATTGTGAGTGTCGTCGTACCCCACCCCCACACCGGCGATCAGGGAGGAATTAAAATAATGAATTCACAGCTCGGCAAAAGCACCTCGGCTATATTTAAAGCGAGAGCGGGGTTTTTGTGCGTCGTAGCGGTGGTGGTTTTGGTGAAAGCGGTCCGCTGTTTGTGGTTGAGGCTGCAGTCTGTCTGCTGTTGCTGTTGCGACGCAGACCACATTTGCCACCTTGTCGGGAGTCGGTGTTTGTGTTGGCGTGGGGGCCGTTTGGGGTTTCCATGCGGAGAGAGAGGGGGTGGGGAGACGCAGGAATATTTTCGACCGCGCAGGTTTTCAGGCTTGTGCTCCGTCTCCCCCGGAGCCTAACAATGCCGGCCGACCGGCCTGCATCAACCAGCAGCAGCTGTTGGCAACGCTGTACTACAATCACAGCTCCCGGCCGGCACATAAAGCGAAACGTCAGACATCGTGCCAGACAGCACGCTGCGGTAACACGCTTGCTCCCCAGACGCATGCAGCCTGCAGTTGCACGTGGCACTCCATCGCGCGTGCCACTCCGTGGCGCGTGCCACTCCGTGGCGCGTGCCACTCCGTGGCGCGTGCCACTCCGTGGCGCGTGCCACTCCGTGGCGCGTGCCTACGCTCCTTAAACGTTGTGCCCCGCCGGCAAAGTTATGGGTTCAGAAAAAGTTTTGTTTGCCCAAAGCCATGGAGCCATTGTAAGGAATTTTGCTCACCTCACCGAGTGAAGATTTTCAAAGAAGTGTGCAGAGGGAGAGGGATACACGCTTGTAATTGGAGAGAGGAACACGTGGATTAGAGAGCATTACGCAGAGAAATGACATCGTTCTGACCGTGGATGAAAGCAATTGGGCTTGGGCAGGACACGTAGCCCGGGGGAATGTTGCAAGAGTGGAGCACGATGGCTCCTGCACACCGTGCCCTCGTTCTGTCTCGTCCGGACAAAGGGGGCGGATCTCGACAGCGTCTGCATCGTGGGTTCGTCAGATCTGTCGTGGCACCGTCCCTGACCTGGCAGGAGGGGAGGGGCCTCCTGCACCGCGGTGGAACGTGGCAGTGCACCCTGGGTGGCACAGCGCGGCTTGATGTCAATGACGATGATGATGATGACGGTGACGGTGGTGATGATGATGATGACGGTGATGATGATGACGGTGACGATGATGGTGATGACGACGACGACGATGATGATGGCCACCACCAGCAGGGTTTTTACGACACATTTATATATTTACGCGATCTAACCCAAAAACCTCTATTATGGATGATGACGATGATGATGATGACGATGATGATGATGACGATGGTGATGATGACAGTGACGGCCGTTGGTCGACAATAGCAACGGAGTGACGTGCACTCCCTACTGCAAAGGGCGCAGTGAAATGCGCGGGAGAGGTTCACGCTTGGAAATACGTCGAGGGACGGAACGTGTAGAGCACGTGGATGAGAGAATGAACGCAAACCGAAAGTACGCTGTAGCGAATTCGAAAAAAGGCGGTCCGCAGCTTGAGGAGGGGGAGGGTGGTCGAGACTTACGACAGAGTCGGAGCCAAAGGCGGGGAGCGGCAGGCGAATCGTTGCCGACGACATACGATCGGGGGACGTGGGGAGCGGCTGGGAGCTGTCGTTTCACGTGGAGCAATTCACTACCCTGAGATTCGTTGAGTTGTCGGGCTGATGATCATCATCATCGTCATGAATATTATCATCACCATCATCGCCATGTCCTACAGACTATCAGGCGCACCTTTTTCAAGCAACATTTTTGGCGTTCACCTAATAACCCAGTAGCTTGTGTGTCCGTGTGTGTGCGAGCATGCGTGTGTGTGCGAGCGTGCGCGTGTGTGTGTGTGTGCGAGCGTGCGAGACCAGATTCGCGCAACTCTATTTGACACCGTGCGGCGGAAGTTAGGGGCGCGTCTTGCTTTCTAAGATCCAGGCGATTTGAGTCGCAAGCCTTCTGTACATTGGTACTGCAGTCGTGAGCCTACTTTGGTTTCCAAAAGTAGTTTTCTCCAACGTTTGATGGCCGCTTTTTAACTGCTTGATTAACGTTTTTAGTTTTGTGAGCTTCTTTAATGAGCCCAGCGGCATCCGCCCCCCCCCCCCCCCCCCCCCCCGGGCATAGCCTGTACCGATCGCCAGGACGCGACCGGCGTTATCCGGTCGACCCATGGTGTTGCCGCCTAAAACCGACACGGCCAGAGATTTTTTGATCCGCCAGTTGTTGTTGGTGGCGGCCCGTTGACGACCGCCGCGAGCGGCAGCCTGGCGGTGATGTCACGCGGACCGCACGGAGCCTCGACGGGAGGTCCGAAGCGACGGTCGCACGAGCGCGGCCCCTCGTTTTTGCCGTCGACGAAATCGGACGATCGCAATTTTCATTGACGCTGGAGGAATCCGACGGGGCTTCGTGAAGCGATTTTCTTTGGCTCGCAAGTCGCCTCCCGTGGCGCGCATCCTCCAATTCGGTCGCTTGCGGCGCGGTTCGCGAGAGCCGCCGGGGGGCGTCGATGGCGCCGCCGCAGGGGGGGGGGGGCGGGGGGTGGTTCAGGTACCAGCCGGCGATCGCGTGAGCGCCCGACCGGCGTTCGGAAGCACCGTGTGAACGCTGCGAGCGAAAGTAGGCCATGATGCGCCGCCGCCGCCACCGTCGCGCACTCAATTTCGCATTACAGCATCGGCGGGTGCCGAGTCAGCCGCGTGTGACCCGACACCCCGTGACCCACTTGGCAGCGGAGTGGCGAGGCCTGTTATGAAATGCGCTATTAAACAATTACGGTGGCGGCGACGGTGGCCACCGCAGCGACGCCGGCGGCGGCGGCGGCGATGTTGGTGACATCTGCTGCTGCTGCTGCTTTCGATGGTCTTGATGATGATGGTTGTGGCCCCTGGTTTGGTGGGGGCAATCATGGTGCGATGATAATAATGATGACCGTGGTGGGTTGTGGCAGTGGTGGTGATGATGATGATCGTCGTCATCATCTACACGATTCATAATTCTTGATAATGATGAGGAGGACGATGTTGGTGGAAGCATTTGGTGATGATGGCAATGATGGTGGGTGGCAATGTTAGCAGTGCACGGGAGGCGTTTGTGACTGGTGGTGGATGGTGCTGATGACGATTACAATATTAATCCTTCTTACACTACGATTGTTCTTGGTTTGGTTATTTACGATTGTAATGCTGCTGCTGCTGATGACGACAACGACAATTTATCTCGTGCTGCGACGCAGCAGCCTGCATGCACATGCCCCTTGCAGCCCGCCCGCCTGAAAACCGCCGTCGTCCTACCCGCGACGTGACCTACAAACGCCCTTTTGCGCGCTCGCGCGTGACGTAACGCGGCGCCAGCGTCACTTTGCGGCGTCGTGACAGCGCCCGCGACAAATATGTACATCCCGACGCAGCGCGCAGGTCCCGTGCAAATTGTCAGCTCCCTCGGGCACGTCGGCAATATCCTGTCCTTCGCATGCAAATAAATATTTACGTTACAATTTTTGTGGGTGGGGTGTTTTTTTTTTGGCTCCAACCCTATAAACCCCAGTATGCAAATCCTATGCAAGAATGAGGATATGAGTGGTGAGCGCGCACCGCACTGTGTACCCGGTGACCCGTTGCTCGATTTACGGCCACGGCCGACGTGAGCGGCACGTGATGTCGGTATCAGAACCCGTCCTGGTGAAGTACGGTCAAACATCCACCGACGCGCTGTGTGGGGGGGGAGGGCTTCATCCAGCAGTGGCTCGATAAAGGGGTTCGACATTTTTCGTTGCTTTACGATGCATTGTCACATGTGCCAAGAAGTAAGAACACTGGAACACCTGAGAATCTTGCTCTTGTTCCCAATCGCTCTTCCAACCAAACGTTGTTCCGACAGTGCTGTTGTCGAGTGTCGCCTACCACGAATCTTGAGAATCCATTAGAAGAAATTTGTTTTCCAAGTAAGCCGGGCATCCCCCACCCCCTATGCCGTGTTCATCAACATCTATTATTAATTCCCTGAATTTTGTTGTTTTCCCCAGAAGCCCGGACTCGAACCCAGCAAGCTCAGCGGTGCCGACTCAGCGTTCTCTGACCCCACCCCCTCCACCGAGCCCGCCCCCTTCCTGTGCGAAGCCAAAACGGTGAGTGTTTGAGTCGCGTCGCAACTGTGCCCGCTAAGGTCTTGGCAATTCCATTTCCTCTCCAACCCCTACCCCTGCACCTCCCCCCACCGCCCCCCCCCCCCCTCCGTCTTCCCATCCTTATTTGTTTTCGCTCTCACTTTCCCCACGTGCCTGCTCTTCATGTCGTTTATGGGAAATGTGCTGTGCAAAGGCTCTTTCTCAGAACGCGAAGCCCTCTGCTGCGCAAAAATTCCACTGACCTGTTGCACAGAGCACACAGTCAGTGGAGTTTTGCGCGCGCGTGTGTGTGTGTGTGTGCTTTATGCACATATCTAAAGCCGCGTAAGGAAATGGTAGGAATCGGTGGAGCAGCGGTTAGCACACCGCAACCCTAATAAACCCCGGGGAGCTGAGTTCAATTCGCGGAAACAGATAACATCGGTGGCGAGCGATATCCGAACTGGTGCTCACCCAAAGGTGGCGGGGTAGGGGTGAGAGGGGCGACCTTTCACAAGCGCACTGACCATCCCTCGTGTTGACACAGCATGCTGAGGCCTTAATAGGACTTAATCCAGCCGTAGATGAATGAATGATGTCTTGTAAATCACGTTGTATTCATCGTTAGGTTAAGGGAAAGGCTCACGTAAGCCGTTTTTATTCCAATGTCAACAAAAGTGAAACATTTACAAAAAATGAAATTCCACACTTGAAAATGAAAGGCGGCCCCTGCACACGCCAGCCTAGCAGACACTGGCTCTACCCCAGCCCTTGGATGAACGGATCTGTGGATGGATGGAAGAATGAATATATGAATGCATGTATGGATGGATTTGACGATTGAAGGGATGGATTTGGTGAATGTGTGAATGAATTAATGAATGGGTGTTATTGAGGATGGTTGACGAATCAATGTAAGCGATCAATTATTCAATTAATGGATAGATATATGTATGACTTAACGATAAGAACGAACGCACGCGCGCACGCACGCACACACGGATGTCCATGGACGAGAGCCGGGGGCAGAATGTTGCGCACCACGTGTCCCAAGTTACCCGCACGGACAATTCGGTCCGAAGAAACACGCCGCGCCTTGCCGCGTTAAACATTTCACCGGGGGAGAGCAGCTTTGCCAACATCGCAGCCGCACGGTCTGCGTTGTGCGAGTTTAGTTTAGTTTTTTATCGGTTTAACGAGGTTGTTGGTGTACGTTGCGTACGCGTGCGTTTTAAAAGAAACATCTCTTAAATTCCTCTCCGCCAGACAAATTCCTGGCTACGTGTCCCCGTTTGCACACCGAAGGGTTTGGCTGAATAACAGTGACCATAGCTTGCCAAGGGAGAGCCACAAAGGGAATCTCAAGACCACAACCCCCCCTTTTCAAGAGGGTCCTGCCGCATTGCTATTGTTAATGAGATGTTTGGCTTCGTTGTTCGAGGACACGGGAGAGCCCCGACGAAAACGTGCGGGGTATTTTGATGGGGTAACACTCTGCGCAGGTTCACTAGAGAATCCGTTTGCCAGCCGTATCGGGAATCGCGTTGGCCACCTCGCACAACGCATGCTGTATAACGCCAGCATCCACAGGCAGTCTCACAAGCAAATAGTGACCAGGTCAAATACCTGCTTGGCTTCTGAAATCTGGCAAGGAATATGGTTATCAGTAGCGGTTGGCGGTGGTGATAATGATGGTAACGGTGGTCAATGGTCGCATTGGCGGTGATGGTAGCTCTGGTAGTCGTGGCAGTGATCGTGACGATGATGGAAATGGTAGTGGTGAATGCGGTAGTGGTGGTGGTGTTGATGGTGGTGATGGTGGTGGCAGTAGTGATGGTGGTTACAATTGCATTGGTGGTAATGATGTTAATGAGGATGATGATGATGATGATGGCGATGGTGTTAATTATGCCGATTCAGGATGATTGTGGTGGAATTTCGGGCGATGTCGCCGGTATTGGCTGTGGCCAACGTGCCACCCCACCCCCCTCCCTGGCTCCTGCAGTGACTGTGGCCATTGCGATGGTGTTTGATAGCGGGGTGGGGGGGGGGGTCCTGTGTGTGTGGGGGAGGGTGGATATAATTCTAGAGTGAACCTTTTTTCCTTGTGGCTACTCTGAGCCAATGGTGGAAATTCCACGTTGCTGTGGAGAGGGGGGGGGGGGGAGAATGTCTTATCCATTTATCCGCAGGACAATCGCTGCTGCTGTTGACTTCTCCACAAAGCGGTTACCTATTTTACCAACCACCATGGAGACAATGAGCCGAGTCCCACGCCCCTAACCGGGAGTTCAACTCCTCAACCTTCCGAATTGGGCGCCGCACTCTCTAGCGCCGAGTCAACACGGCCACCGTGGTGATGGCGGTGATGGCGGATGCGATGGTAAACGAAACAACATTTTGTTTGTGTCACGACGCCGACTCACGTTGCTACTCGGAGCCTTTCATTGGACCCGGCATCAGCACTCGGCCCGGGCTTCTTTCTCGCTGCGTGAAGCTCGGTCCTCTCCCCCAACGCCCCCCCCTCCTCCCCTTGTGCTGCCCCCTTGTACACCGCTTGGAGCCTCCTCTCCCGAAGCTTCGCTCGCCCCAACTCCTCTCGGGCAATCCTCGTCCTCCTCCACCAATGGTTGTCAACCGTCGCCCCCCTCCTTCTCGTCAAACGTCGCTCCCCCGTTTGAATCTCCTCTCCGATCCTATTTGAACCTTCACCTCCCGACCGATCACTCTGGAGGCCTCTCTGCAGCAATAGGAGGACTTGGCCTACTTGCGGACTGTCCGTCTGCCCCTACGCCTGCCTCAGGTGAGTGGTCTGTTGCCTCGGTCATTACAAATGTATCACTTGTTTCACACCGCACGTAGCCAACCGTGCTAATCGGAGGTGCGGAGGACAACCAGGTAGGGCCCACTGAGCTCTCGAACTCTTTTTTCAGGAGCGACCTGGCCATATTAGCTCAATGAAGTGGCGGCTTCTCGTCATCGTGTGGAAATTTATAGCAGCGGAGAAATGCTCTGAATGCATCGTCGATATTTAAGTGTGGATGGGAAAAAACGGAGGACCCGGAGAAAATCCACGCGACCACGGGGAGCGAGAGAGAGAACATGCAAACTCCAGATATACAGCAGCAGGCGTCAGGGTCGGGATCGAGCCCACGACCTCCTGTATACCAGGCGAGGTAGTTCACATCTCGCCGCCCTCGGAGGCGGTGGTGATGTCAGCGATAGGGGATATGGGGGGAGGGGGATAAACAGCCCAGCAGCAGCATTGTTCTGTGGTTATTTCCAGGACACTAGTCATAGTCATCTCACAAATTCAAGTGCCACAAAACTGTGACCGCGCCAAGCCCAGATGCTCAGGCAGAGGGTGGTGGGGGGGGTAGCAGTGGGGAATCGCTATGAAATGACTCACTGATTAAAATGCAATTTAACTGTTTATGCCGATAGTGCAGGGACGCATTTAAGATGCGTCTACATGTGATAGCAGCAGCAGCAGCAACAGCAGCAGTGAAAACAGCAGCAAGAATCTGCAGCAGCAGCAGCAGCAGCAGCCGCGATAGCTATACAATCATCAGCATTGTCATCATTCACAGCTGTAGCTGCGATAGCAGTAATCATCAGCAGCAGTATCATCAGCAGCAGCAGCTATTGAATCATTATGATCTGCAGCAAAAGCAATACCATCAGCAGCAGCAGCTATTGAATCATTGTGATGAGCAGCATCATCATCATCTATTGAATCATGATGTGCAGCATCCGTAAAATAAAGAGATTTATCAGTAGCAGCATCATCATCAGCGGCAGCTGTTGAATCATTATGATTTGCAGCAAAAGCAATACCAGCAGCAGCTTTTTAATCATTGTGATGAGCAGCATCATCATCATCTATTGAATCAGGATGTGCAGCATCGGTAAAATAAAGAGGTTTACCAGTAGCAGCATAATCATCAGCGGCAGCTATTGAATCATTAGGATATGCAGCATCATCATAAGCAGCAGCTATTGAATCATGATGTGCAGCATCACCAAAAGCATTAGATTCATAACTAGCAGCATCAGCATCATTAGGATCTGCAGAAAAGGCAATAGCATCATCATCACGAACAGCGGCAGCAACAACAGCAACACAGGGAATGATTATATTATCATCGCGAGCGTTAGCAGCAATAGAATCGGCAGCAACAGTCGCAGCATTGCCGTACTTTTCACACGTGGGTGTCACGTGACAGACACTCTGCTGTAACTTTAGCACTATCGTGCGCTTGCAGCGATACGCCACCGGGGAGGCTAGGGTTGGCGGATCACGGAGAGATCTGAACCTTATGGCGGGACCCCCGCGGTCCCGTAAGCCCCCGGCTCTGGCATCAACTGCGTTGCGACGTCATTTTACGCCTGTTGAAGACGAACAACACGGCAATCTATTCCTCTCGACGAGCTCTACACGATGCGCTAATCAAAGTTTCAAAGTTTTGTTTCTTCTGTGCATTCGTCCTCGCTGCTGCGCTTGGACGACACGACAAGAGAACGATCCGCGCCAGGCGGGTCGCGGTGTTTGTGTGCGCGGTGGGACGGAGTCGCCAAAAATAAATAAATAGATTGCAATTCTGACTTCCGTTTATTCGGGACCCCGGGGTCCCGCCATAAGGTTCATTTGTGAACACCTCCCCCCCCCAATACCATCAACAAGCGCCATTCGCCACGAAGTGGCAGTGACTTCACTCCCGTCGCTTGTGCCAGGCCATGTGCACGTTAAGGCCACGTGAAGTGTCGAACGCCCGCTGGCAGGAGGTCAAGGGGCAGACTCAGGTGCCATGGGCCGACTGACTAAGACGACTGGCCGATGCACCACCACCTGTGCCCCCTCTACCACCGCCCCCATAACCCCCTGGGCTGTCTGCATCGCGGTGATGAATCGATGCACACCGTACCCACAGCAAAGTAGCCAGCCATGGTCACCCCTCCCCCCCGACTCCCCATGCCTCACCTGTCTTAACCCAGCCTGTCACCCCCACCAACCAACCAGT